ATCTCGATGTGTTTGGTACGTTCGTGAAAGACGAAGTTCTCGGCAATGGCTATAGCAGATCTACTATCACAATAGAGAGAGGCTGGTTTGGTTGCTATGATCTTCATGTCATGAAGTAAATATTCTAGCCATTAGATCTCACATACAGTGGCTGCAAGGGCTCGATATTCTGCTTTGGAGCTTGAACGAGAAATGGTGGGCTGCTTCTTTGATCTCCATGATATGAGGGAGGATCCAAAGAAAACACAGTACCCAGTGATAGACTTTCGAGTCTCAACACACGCAGCCCAATCGGAATCCGAAAACGCTTTAAGATGCATATCTGATTGTGTAGGATAGAATAATCCTTGTCCAGGTGATGCTTTGATATACCTCAAAACGCGATGTGCAGCTGCCAAGTGTATATCCGTAGGAGCATCCACAAATTGACTCAGTTGTTGAATGGCATAAGTAATGTCGGGTCTTGTGGCAGTAAGATATAGCAATCTTCCTATTAATCGTCTGTAGATGCTAGCATCTTTGAGCATTGTTCCATCACCATGCATGAGTTTTGAGCCTGGAACCATAGGTGTGCTCACCAGCTTGCTTTCGAGAAAACCGGCTTCTTCCAAGATTTCTATGGCATATTTTCGTTGGCATAAGTTCAAACCATCTTCCCTCATATGTGCTTCGATCCCTAAAAAATAGCTCAAAGTTCCCAGATCCTTGATTTTGAAGGTGGAGTCCATAAACTGCTTAAGATTTCTGATGAGATTTATGTCTGCACTTGTGACAAGTATGTCATCGACATAGACAAGGAGAGCAATGAAACCTGTGTCATCATCTTTCGTGAACAAAGATGGATCGGCTTTAGATTGTTTGAAACCGATACGAAGGAGAGCTGAACTGGGCTTGGCATTCCACTAGCGGCTAGCCTGTTTTAGACCGTACAACGACCTTAGGAGCCTGCACACATGGTTCGGATTTGCACTTTCAAATCCCGGGGGTAGAACCATGTACACCTCTTCGTTTAGATCGCCATGTAGAAAGGCGTTGTTGACGTCCAATTGATGGATATGCCATGATCTAGAGACAGCCATAGAAATGAAGGTTCGAATAGTCGTGAGCCTAGCAACCGGGGAGAATGTTTCAAGGTAGTCTATCCCAAGTTGCTGTGTATAACCTTTTGCTACAAGCCTCACCTTGTGCCTTTCGACCGAGCCATCCGCTTTCAACTTTATCTTGTACACCCATCGGCAACCTATGGGAACTTTTCCTGGTGGCAATTCAACTAGTTCCCATGTTTTGTTCTCTTGCAGAGCCTTAATTTCTGCAAACATTGCCTCTTTCCAGCAATCATGCTGAACAGCTTGTTTGTATGTCTTAGGCTCACTGGATGTAGCTACTGCCATGGAGAAGATCTTATGAGCACAATCAAGGTTGTCATACGTTATCACCTTCGACAATGGATGAGGTGAAGTTTTATGGTAGACAGCACTGTCACAATAGTAGTCTTGTAACTTGCTAGACGGTTGTCTCTGTCTGCTAGATCTTCGAACTTGAACAACAGGACTGGGAATGCTCAAGTTGTCTTCATTTGTGTCACCATGATCAGTATTTGACAAGTTGATACTATCACCATTGGAACTATGATGTGTGTTCTGCGCAGAATCCGGAAGTGACTCAATGAATTCATGTTCAATATGGGGCTGGGAATATTGTGAAGATTCTGCTTGTGCTTGACGGACCATTTGCATGGTGGCATCCTCATAATCTGTGATGGATATGTTTGGTAGGGATGGCACCACATTCTGACTGCTATTTGTAACAAGATGATCAGCTTGAGAGGCCAGGGGAAACTGACTTTCACAAAACACCACATCACGAGATATGAACGTGGTTCCATCAACAATATCATACAGCAAATAGCCTTTGACACCTGCAGGTACACCAATGAACACACATCTTCTACTTCGCGGTGCCATTTTGTGTCTTGAAGTAGATAAAGTAGCTGCATAGCATAAGCAACCAAACACTTTTAGATTAGTGAGATCTGGATTCTTACCAAACAGCTTTTGATGTGGGCTTGTCCATTCAAGAATTTTAGATGGCAGCCGATTAATGAGGTAAACGGCATGCACCACGCACTGACCCCAAAGATCAATGGGAAGACCAGCTTGGAACCTTAAAGCCCGAGCCACTGCCAAGATATGCTGATGTTTTCTCTCCACCACTGCGTTTTGCTGAGGAGTGTTAACGCATGACCGCTGGTGGATAGTACCATTTTCATCATAGAAGTCTTTTATGGCAAATTCTGATCCATTGTCGCTTCTTATGGTCTTTATGGTTGTTTTGAACTGAGTCTGAACCATCTTAAAAAATGCCTTTATAATCCCCCGTGTTTCTGACTTGTGTCTCATAAGTCTCAGCCATGTGTGTCTAGAATGGTCATCAACAATCATAAGGAAGAATCTTTCTCCTGCTAGAGACTTAACATGGAATGGCCCCCATATATCCATGTGAACAAGGTCAAAGCATGCAGCAGATGTAGTATTAATTGAAGGAAAGGGGTGTCTTTTATGCTTTGCAAGGTGGCAAGTGTCACAAATCAAATTTCTCATGTTAGAAACAGATATATCAAGGAGATGCATTTTATTTACGGGAAAATGTCCCAATCTTTGATGCCATAGACCAACATCAACATTATTACAAGACATAGAAAACCGATTACAAACTGCAGCAGTAGCATTAGATTCAGGGGGTTTATTCAGCAAGTATAATCCCTTCTCTTCCTTAGCTAATCCAATCATCCTCCCATGGTCCATTAGGAAGCACTGACCACAGGTAAATATCAAAGTGTGAGAAGAATGTTTCAGCAGCTTATTCACAGAGATAATATTGAATTTAAAAGAGGGGATATGTAAGGCATCCTTCAACCAGAGATTGTCCTGTAGTTTTATATTTCCCATGTGTTCAACAGCTGCACAACTTCCATTAGGGAGATTGACCATGGCTCCTTTCACAGTGTAATATTCATTAAAGAATTCAAGATAGCATATTATATGGTCAGTAGCACCTGAATCTATTATCCACGTAGAGGAGTTTAAAGAAATAGAATTAATTAGAATGGGATCAGCACACTTGCCTTCATTGTTAAGATCTCCATTGTGGAATTTTGGGACTAGTGACACTGCTGCAGTAGTAGAGTGTTGATTGTGTCCCAATTGTCCTTGAAGAAGGGATATGAGACTTTGAATTTGATTGGGAGTAAAAGTGTTTTCAGATTGTGCTGCTGCTGTGGTGTTGGCCAACTGTTTGCCTTTAGATTTAAAGCCCGGAATCCAACGGGAGGGTAGTCGTGCTTCTTGTATCACTTCTCAATAGTGTGGCCGTTCATTCCGCAAAAGGTACATTTAGCCACATTCTTAGATCCTCCTCCTGCATTGTAAACTCTTTTACCATTAGAAAAATTAGCAGCAGCAACACAGTTTTCATCTGCAAAGTTCTGTCCAGTCTGAGTGGCATTTGCATGGTCATTCTCTAGTCCAATGCTGCTCAGATTATTGATGTTCAGTTGTCTCTCGAATTTTTCAGACATCACGAACACCTTGTGCATCTCGGGAAGAGGATCGAGAACTAGAACTCCGGACTTCAAGGAGTTGTAATCTTCGTTGAGCCCTTGCAACAGGGCCGGCCCTGGGGCAAGGGCAGGCTGGGCCCTTGCCCAGGGCCCATGCTTGGGGAGGGCCCCATCCTATCTCTTATATATATAGTATATATGTATTGGGTATAAGTAATTTATATACACATATTTATAGTAAGGTAAATTATCTTGGTTGGTAAGATACTTGAATTTTAATTAACATCATTTAATCAAAGGCCCGTGATCCAATCCTTCCTTTCACATTTTAGAATTTCTCAACTTTACTTCTTTGCATATATTCTAATGTATATTTTAAAAATTTATTTTTATTGATTTTTTTGTGTTTAATACGGAGTAGTATTTTTAATGTAGTTTTTAAATATATAAATTTTCATATATTTATACTAAACATATTATGAAATTTTTTTATATTAAATATATAAATTTTTAATGCAATTTCTAAATTTATAAATTTTTATATACTTATACTAAACATATTATGAAAAATTGAATTAAAAAAACTTCAATCAACTCATATTAACCAAACAAGACACATAAAAATAGGACGGAGGGGGTTATATGATATATTTTGAGATTCAATTATAAAAAAAAAAATTAAAGATAATTTACTCCGTACCTTTTTATGAATATCTAATCAATGTAATATAGAAGCTTCTATCATGTGTCATAAAAAAGTTTAAAATTTATCTATTTAAAAGAAAAAGTATTTGTATACAAAAAAAAATATTTATAAAAATCATATAAATAATATAGAAGATGTGTGATTTATAATATGCTTTATGTTCAAACTATTTTATCTAGATAATTGTGTTTCATATCGTTTTGCATTTTTTTTTATTGCGTTTTGAAATATTTTAATTTCTTGCTCCTAGTCAAAAAAGATTTTTAGCTTTTCATATGTTTGTAGTTATTGTTTTATAAATTTTTAATAATAATTAATTTATTATTTATTATGATAACAATGTTATTGTTTATAAGTTTACTCGATTTTAAATTATTTATTTATTTTTATAAACTATAATATTATTTATTTATGAAGACACTTATACGATTATTTATTATTTTGCGTTAAGGAAAGCACCTAGAAATTTTTTTCATGATTATTGTTGTGTATGTATATCTGTTCATATACTTTCTCAACCTACTAAAACACAAAGAACCAATAACACTTCCACAGAGGCTTGAACTCATAATCTTCCAAATGGAAATCCAACCCAAATACCATTAGATCACATAGTCCTAGTGTTAATCTTATTTAAAGTTATTGGTATTAATAATTTTTTCCTGATTTAATTTAAATTTTAGGCATGAAATATATATTAACTAAGGCCCATTTTTTTTTTATCCTGCCCCGGGCCTATAAATTGATAGGACCGGCCCTGCCTTGCAGAAACCTTATGACTTGATCAACTTCTCGATCCTTCCTGATCTCATCCACCAAACCACAAGAACATCGCGGCGTGCATTTGCAGACTGGAAGTGGTCTGAGAGCGTTCATCTCCTCCCAGAGTATGCGGCATTTAGTATAGTAATCGTTAATTGACATATTTCCTTGCCTCAACTCATAGATCTGATTCTGCAGAGATGAAATCCGATGCGGATCCTTTTGCGAAAATCTCCTTCTCAGATCAGTCCAAATTGCATTAGCCTCATCTATATAAATCACGCTTTGCGCTTTGGTTGGATGGACTGATTTCAATATCCACGATTTGACAATTAGGTTGCATCTTCTCCAGCTGCCGTACTGACTATGAGTCCTCTCTGGTTTCGAAATGCTACCATCAACTATCTTCCATTTGTTTTTGACCTCAAGGGCTACTTGCATGGAGATGCTCCATGAGCTATAATTCTCACTGCCAGTTAGTAGAGGACTAACGAGAATAGCATTAGCATTTTCAGTGCTGTTCAAATACAGAGGATTATCAACATCCTCGATAATGTTCCTCTGCGGAACGTGAACTCCTTGTTCATTGATTAACGGCGAAGACCGTGCAGGAGAGTTGACGATCGGAGATGCCGGATGTGCTCCCTGGCTAGATCCTCCTGGAGCAGTGACTGCGGCGGCGTAGCTGATCGGCCGACGCTCTGATACCATATCGGAAACGTCGAAGAGGAACAGAGAGAAGTGAAGGGGAGAGTTACGGGAAAAAGGTGAAGTGTTTCATTAGATTGGAAGATGGAAGCAGACAGCTTTTAAGTACAGAGAAGGGTGGTAAAGGTAGTTACAAAAACGGTTACAACAGAATAAATAAAGCCAATTTACAAGAAAGCCCTCACTTCTTTAATTCTTATGAGGGTATATCTGCCATCTTCTCCAAAAGTATTAGCGTTTACCAGCTGTGGTCATCCGACGTTTAAACGACCACTCCTTCAAGTTTTAAAAAATAATCACCCATGGTCCTCCCGTTAAGTTTGGTGTTAAAAGGGGTTGAATGTGAGGGCAATACTGTGTTTTCACCTATATTAGCACCTGTATATAAGGATGGGTGCTAAGAAGAACTACGGCAAAGAATGATGTTTCGGGCGAAAATATTTTTCGGCAACGTTCATCTTCTCCGACAGCTTGGGTCCATTGTTTTTTTGTGCGGTTTCCATGGTTTTTCCGGCAGTTGTTTTTCGTCGGATTCTCTCACCAGCAGGCTTAAGAAGATTGCGTCCCTGCAGTCATAGCTTTATTTCAGTCACTCATTTGGAGGCCGGAATGGTGAACAGAAATAAACTGGACAGGAAAACCAGGTACGCATATTTGGCCATCGCAGAGCCTTAGCCCAAAGTCTCTGGCTTCGCAAAAGTCGACCTTTTCACCGGCCTGTAAACACAAAAAAGTAAACTTTGTATTTATTCACAAAATTCCTTGTACAGTGTGTGTATAATTCAATGCAGGTACAAAATCTCTGTCTAGTCCTCTGATTCTTCACTAACGTTATCTATGGAAGTGCCTCTGGGATTCAATTAGCGTAGCCTCCGGGATTCAATTGGCGCGTGCCTCCGGGATTCAAGTGGCGTAGCTTCCGGGATTTAAGTGGCGTAACATCCAACAACGAGCGTCAAGAATTTAGAAATAATCAACCCTGCAAAGTTTCAAAACACATGCAATGGATTCAAGCTGCTTTAAGATCCTCAAACGCCTTCAAAAGACTTCAATATCTTCGAGACAATCAATTCTGCAAAGCTCCAAAGTACCTGCAATGGATTCAAATTGCCTGCAAAATCAACAAAAATGCCTTCAACTTCAAGCGTTTTTTCAATGCCTTCGGGCTCTTCAAATGCTCTCAACTCCTTAAGCCTTCAAGTTCTTCCAGCTTTCAAGTGTGTTTTGGAATGAAATGAAGGCTCTATTTATACTAGAAACCTAACCAACATTCCTCAACAAACTCCCCTTTTAGTTAACTAATTAATTAATTAATTAATTGGGAAAATGAACCTTGCCCAAGATCAAGTCCAGGTTCATTACTGTATAATCTAATTCAAATTCAAATTAAACTATAATTATCTAATTCAAATATAATAAAATTAATATTATATTTAAATTATAATTATAATTTAAATTCAAATATGAAATGGGCTTGGGCCAATTAATCAATTAATTCAATAGCCCAAATCAAATTTTAATTGGGCTAATTAAATTAAATTAATTTCCATGATCCAATTAATCAAATCGGCCCAATCATCAATCTCAACATTAGCCCAATAACACTTTAATCGGTCCATTTATCGGGTTCAAATTTTCGGTGTCTACAAATTGCCCCCTCGAGACTTGCCGGGACATGCCGCTTAATGTGCTTGGAGTGAGAAAGTCTCGAAATTTTAACACATGGCCATTCAAATCCATGGGAGTGTTTTATAACATCATGAGCCCAAAATTATTCATTGAGCACAAAATTATTCATTGAGCCCAAAATTAATTTAGGATGAAGCTGGTGAAGGGATATTGGGCTCATACAACATTTATTGGCCCACGTTGGATACTCCACAACCCAAAATTGAATTAGCAATGTACTATGGTCAAATCCATCAGGACCATCTCAATATTCTAAGTTTACTAAGATCAACTTCTCCTCTGGCAACAAATTTGAGTCCTTCAAATTCTATGCATACCAATCTCATCCGTAATCCCAGCATCACAGTTGAATTCAACCACACAACCATAATTATAATACCATTAGGATTCTAATCCAACTCTAACCTCCTTCCTCACAGTACACTATAAATATGGCCTAAACATACCCTCATCCACACCAATCAACGAGATAAAGATCAGGGAAGAACAACTCTGCTTCTTAATCAGGTAATTTCTCAACTTCATACCCTTCTTTTCCTGTATACATCTTTTATTTGCAGGAACGGGAATACAACCTGGGAGCAAGCATGAATGTAGGAAGCAATCCCACAGACTTCATAGAACAAGAAGCAACGTAAAAAGTGCCAACAAGTAGAATGATCACCGGAGATTGCTGGAGCTGCCCGGTGGAATTTTTTTTTTTTTTTTTTGAAGCCGCCGGAGTTGATGAAGACCGCCGAAGTTGATGAAGACCGCCGGAGTTGATGAAAACCGCCGGACTGGCTTTTCCTCTCTTTTTTTTTTTTGCTGTCGCAGGAGGCTCGTTGCTATGCTTCGCCGGAGAGTTTTTGTGTTTTTTTTTTGTAGAAGTCGTCAAAAGGGTAGAAGTAAGGTTACCAGCCGTCGATGGCTTTGTCTTGTTCATCTTGAGGTGGAGGGAAGTTTTTAGCGATGGAGGTGTCTATGGACTGAACTTGTAGTGGATCCATCTCTGTACAAATGATTCTACAGGAAGTGAATGTCTTGGGTGGCCTTGTACTTCCAGTGTGGGGAACAATTCCAAGGAGGGAGGTATTGGCATAGTGAATAAACAAAATCACACGGAGTTCTTCGTGGCCGGAGTTTTTTTTTGTTTTTTTAGGAGGTTCGTCGACCTGTTGATGCTGCCCCTTCGCCGGAGTTCTCTTTTTTTTTTTTTTTTTTTTTTTTTTTTGTAGAAGTCGTCGGTGCCGCTGATGATTAAAGGAGGCTGAACTGGTTTTCAAAAGAAAAATTAAAAAAAAAAAACTGAACTGGACACCATTTTAGTGTGCAGCTGGGTCTATATGCAGGGCTCCCAAGATAACCCTTTTCTCACACCACGTGATTGCAGAAGTGCAGCGCTGACACCATGCTATGCTTAGCTATGGCTGGCCCTACATGAAAACCCTCCATATGTAAACATATTATATCACACTAATACATTAACACCACAAACATATATCCCCACATACGTACATACATAATCTTTTTTTTCCTTTCCCCTTTTTTTGCTCTGCTTTTTTCATTTTTTCCTTCGTTTTCTGTTCTTTTTTTTTTCCTTGTTTTGTCTTCCGTTTCTAACTTTGTTTTGTCTTTCGTTTCTTTTTTTCCCATTCTTTTTCTAATCTTTCTTTTTCACTTTGACACATTCAAGATGGTGTACTTTCGATTTTGCAGCGACTTTCCAACTTTGACACATTCAAGATGGTGTACTTTCAAGATCAACGACGTAACAGGCAAGATGTCATGGTGATATCGAGTAGAAATAGTGATCATCAAGTCACACTGACGGTTAACCCACCCATAGTACTACGTGACCCGCCAAAGCTCACGGTGTCGTATCACGAGAGCAACTGGACCCCCGAGTATGAATGCCTGCCATCCAAGGTGTGGACCTTGCTACCCGGAATGCAGCACCAACCTTCCAAAGACGCCCTTCCTACACTGGGGCATCGTATACTTAATGCTGAGGTCTCGTGGGGCCAAGACATAGACTTCGAGGGCGAATTCACTTTTCTAAAAGGATATTGGGAGTGGGTTGAAGAGACGCTTCACTTCTCCCACGACACCTTAAAGGAGGGGAAGATATATGATGCTGTGTTTGCGTCATTATTTACAATGACCGTAACATCAACATTGTCAAAGCATTCTGCGAAGCATGGTGCCTGCGAACCAACACCCTGATCACCTTGTCTGGTGAGGTGAGCATATCGCTTCGGGATTTTCATGTTCTTGGGGGACTACCACTGTCCGGTGGCATTTACCACGAACACATCCCGAGTGCCCTGGACCTAAAAAGGGGCCCAAACAAGTGTTGTGCAAGCTTATTTGAGGCCTTTTATCTCTTAAACCAGCAAGAGAATGGCACCCCCTTTGTTCAAGCATCGCGATGGATTGACTTCTGGTGTAGAAAACCGCGAACACATCCAGCTCCTCCACCTGCATCTCAAAAGGACAGGAAATCCCGGCCAAAGAATACCCACAACCCAAGTGGAGAACTTAACAAATCCATCAGGTGGTTAGATGTGAGCAGGACGCCCTTTCTCGAACTAGGCATCTCCCGGCGTTTCGAAAAGGAAGCTTACTTGGCCGCGTTTTTATCTTGTTGGCTTTGCGTGTTTGTCCTACCAGGTACACCGACAAGAACCATTCGCCCAGAGACTTTCAAGATAGCATGCATGATGGCTAGAGGAGATAAAATATGTCTTGCGGCTCCAGTACTTGCTAGTATTTATTCTGGTTTAAACTCAATCTCGAAATCCCACTCTCCTGGTCAAATAGGAGACCCTTTTCCAATCCATTACGTGTACAGCTGGCTAGCAACTTACTACCAAACCCACTTTAAGACCCCCAGCCTCACGTTAGCAAACCCAAAGATGGTCACTAATTCTGGAGAAGGTGGTGCAAGGTATTACACCGAGATGGATGCCCGTAAGAAGGTATTCAAAGGGGACGTTTCTTGGCTCTGCAACTCCCGCAAGGATAATAGAGATTTTATCTTTTACGATGACCGTAGAGGGAGTAGGGAAGACTTTGAGTACTTTATATGTTTGCGCCCCAGCTTCCTTGTTTTGCGCCGAGGGTCTCAATGCAAAGCTGAGCCTTACATGCCGCATCGCTTCAGTCGTCAATTTGGATTCTATCAAGCATATGCCCCCGGCCTGTTGGCGAAGGATGTTCGTTATGCTTCACTCACCGAAGGATTCCGACTTCATCGCCAATATGATAATATCAACTCCCAATCTAGGGCGACATTTCCCATGAGCCCGGCTGCTCCAAAGAAGCATTTTTCG